GTATCGGGATACGTGTGCGACCTTTTCGGTCCATTATCCGATGATTCAAAATGGGCCCTCCGGGCCGCTAGTAGTAAAATACCTCGAAATCTTTGTATTTTATATCATCTGCCTCCACCACCTACACAAAATACGCCCCACAGGACCTGTCATAATGGTTCATCAGTCAAGAATCTTCTTACTTTAGTCTTTAATGATAACTGTAGGGTGCGGGGAGGGGAAAGTTGTCCCCCTGCTTTCAAGAACGCTACCCATGATTACTCGTGTTCCTCTTTCCTTCTTTCATCGTGCCCTCTTTACGAGCTGGCACAAACATCCTAATCTGCCATCTTTTTTTAAAATGCTGCCTGCAGGACTGAACCAGGCTACAGTCTTGAGTTAAGGGTAATTTAGAGTTATCCTTTTTGCCTGTTTCTCGTTTGTTTCTGGACCCTCGGCTGTTTTCTCCTCCTCCTCAACCATAGCCATCTTGCTTCTTATAGGCTTGGGAGATCAGTTGTGCAACATTTGCTTACACCAATCACACCATCCTGCCCGAGGCTCTTGAACGCTGGCCAGTGTCAATGATGGAGCATCTTCTCCCACGTCATCTCGAAATTATTTACCAAATCAACCACAACTTCCTTCAGGTGCGTCGTTGCCTCTGTTCTAATCTGTTTAACTGTAAGTTATATAGCGAAACGGGGGTGTTTTTTTACCCAGCCCTAACTACCCTGTTCTCTTCTCTTTAGCTTGTGCTGAAGCGTTGGCCCCATGATCTGGATCGTATGCGCACTATGTCCATTATCGAGGAGGAAGGTGAGAAGCGTGTCAACACGGCCTACCTCTGCATTATTGGCTCTCATGCTGTAAATGGTGTCTCCGCGGTGCATACGGAGATCATCAAGCGTGACACGTAAGTGTGAACTCTCCTCCGATCCCCCTCACCACCATCGCTATGACTACCAGTCGATCATCATCATAATTCGTATCATAGCTGGGGGACCGGGCATTATGAGTTGGGCCGCCGCTGCCTGCTGCTACGCCTATAGTGACTTGTTGTAGTCTGGCAAAACAGAACTTTCGCTCGGTTCTCCTTTGGATTTAATGATGGGGCCTTGTAGGCCGTTGGGTAGTCGGACAGTAGGCGGAGAAGTGAACCAACAATAGTTAGCCGACTGGAATTTTCGTTTCTAAATAACCTGTCGTTGTCAGCCGGTGGTGTTACACCGATCTCAAGACCAGATACTGTTAAATTTGCATCTTGGTTTGACAATAGCCGTGCCCGTGCCAAAACTGTCATCTGCATTGGTGACTAATCACAGTAACTGGCCGGGGGCTCAGTT